CGGTATTCTCCATAGGTTCTGGAAGACAACCTTTCGTCTTGGACCATCTTCAAGATTGCGGCAGACGAGGTCTTCAAGCTCCAAGAGCCATTTCTTGCAATCCTTGATGTACGAAGGTGAGTTAGCAGGGGACTCCAACACATTCCCAGTATCCTTAACGCGGCCAACAACAACACCCATGAGGCTGATGCTAGGGCTCTCAAAAGTCGCGTCAAATATTGTCGAAGACCACGTTGTCCCTTTGGATGCGTCGTACATCATTGATCCAGTACTGAAGCCTCCAATGGTTGCAATCATCTTGACAGTCCAGTCAACAGTCCAGCTGTGGAGGCCGGGTGAGAGGGATGTCGGGCGACGGTAGGATAACACATCTGGCCCATGATCTTCGACTAATGCTTTCGTAGTGAAGAACAGCAATTTCTCCAGAGTCATGGCCATTGAATAGTCGACAGGTACCCTCCTTCTATCCCTTTCAGTCAGCAGGCCGAGTAGTCCGTATATTCGATCCCGAGGGTCCGTTGATTGAATGGCGCCACCGGTAGCGGATAAGAATACGGCATTGAAGAGCGATGTCTCCTGTCTCGAGCCATCCTGTATGTTATTCATGTGGCTGAAATGCGCAATCCTGAAGTAGACATCCCTTAGCGCGTTGTAGATGGGCTGATACTTGGGATCGGTATCGACGTAAAGTATCATCCACTCGAAAGCACTCCATGCACTGCGGATTTCTTTCCAATCCTTTGCATGATCGCCGATGACGACATAGGCCTCTTTGGCTAGGAGTGCTTCCTGGATCACCCAAACCCGTGTCCACCATGGACGTTGGAACAGAGTCCATATGTGAGCAAAATTGAAGCTGGTTCCCGAGCACTCAAGAATAGTTTTGACGAAGGCTTGGCAGATGGAAGGCCCGTAGTCAGGACGGGCTTTGAGGTCCTCAAGTGTGCTGCCTAGGAGACTGAGTTGGTGGAGAGCGCTGACGCTGGCATTGTCTTCAGGCCCGAGCCAGATGAGGACTTGGCGCGCGCTGCTGTAGATCCTGCCCATCAACTGCACCTGGTGTGCCTTCTCCTCGTCATCTGCTTGATTGATGCACAATGCATCTATCCAGATTTTGTTGACCTGTGACTTACTGTATTTGGCGAGCCGCTCGAGAGCATAGTACAGATTTTGCGTGACGTCGACGTTCTGACCTTGGAGGAGAATTGAGCGAGTTTGGGTAGCGTCGCCCCAGACATACGAGAGGGCCGTGAAGTCGCGATCGTCGTCCAAACTGTCATGGACAATGGAGCAGCTGATGTGACCATGACTTCCATCGCCATGTTTGATTTCGAGAAGCCGAATATCCCGACTGGCATTCTGCAAAGGCAGGTACTGGTACTGCATGATCGTTGCTGTCTGAGAAACTATGCACAAGATGCCATCAGAAGGATGACCGGCTTTGACGTTCCTGCCAGCCGCCAGGCTGCGAAGTAACGCCGCCACGCAGCCACGCCAAGAGCCACGTCACGCCAGACTTGCTGCAGGGTCGTTTCCTCAATGGCGATTGCCCTCAGCTTCTCTTGCTGCCACTCGCGGCGATTAAGTCTCGCTGATGCAGACCCGTGATTGCCATGGAAATGCGGCTGCCGACTCAGCGACGGTCAAGCCTCTCGAGTCCCGTGTAGAAGATCATCGGATTGGAATGCCCGTCTTTGCTACATCGCCCCCTCGGTTATCTCAGGATGGCCTGCAGATGGGGTCAGCCACAATCCGCCTCTTGGCACCGGCGTCAGTGGAGGATACTTCACGTCTTGAAGGTCGGCTCCATGCTTTCGACGGCCCTCAGGTATTGCTATTTTCAAACACTGCAGAACTGCACTGCCGCCAGTCGATTATGCCCGGCTTCTTGGCGGCACTCGGCGAGAAACGGGGATCGGTGAAGGAAACGCGGTGGCGCCGCTGGGAAGCGGAGGAAATGAGATGTTTCCGACAAGTCTGAGGGTAGATTCCTAGGAGAGAATCGAGAGATTACACACCTGCCGCGCTTGACCCGGGGCAGTTGGGCAGGTCCACTCGCAACCACACCCGCGCCGGTAGGCACGTACGGATTCTCCCGCTCCACTGCCGACTTCTTGATCCGAAATCGATGTAACTTCCTCTTTTGGGAAATGTTGAAGAAGTCTCAAGGGCTGATTGGACTGTGTGAGAAGCCACATGCGAGATGGAGTTATGTGTGATGTACTACTTCTGACGTCCTTTGGCATGACGCTCTGCGGATGCCATCAGCAACCAGGCAGTCTGTAAAGACAAAGAGATGATCAACTTGTGAAGAATGTTCTTGCGTTAATCGAACGAGAATTTTAACCTGTTTTTGCAGGTTGGAACTGGGAGGACCGAATACAGCGTCAACATCCGACTGAGAAATATGGCGGTACAAATGTGCAACGATGGTTGCAAGCCCTGGCACTGCATCAAACTTGGTCATTAATTTCGCGCGTCTATGTTTACTTGAACGACTATGTGAGTCTACTCCTCAAAGGCAGGCACTCAAAAGAGCTGAGGAGATTAGTGCAATGAGGAAGGCTACTATCATAATTAACGCAAGGTAATGATCGAAAGCTTTTGGACGTCAATTTAGCTATCGATTGGAAGGTCTGGAAATTTGCCCTGACCTGTGATGAAGCCCCGACCCTGTTGGACTCTATGATGGAAAAGAGGTAATATTGCTGCTCAACATCAAGGTCAAGACGCATAACCGTGCTTCCACTACCATATGCAACCATTGTTATCACACAAACTCCAATCGTTATGATCAAGGTAATGAGTCCATATCTAGCAGGAACCTTGGGAGCAATACCCGGAAAGAAAGTTCCCTGTGCCCCTGGCTACATCCGTACATACCAGCACCTTGAAGGGTTTAGAAAACTAACGGAGATGTTCAGAGATTTCTTTTAATACTCAAGAGACTTACCACATTCCCCATCAATCTCTTCCCACTTCTTCATCATCCTCTGCTTCATATCTTCATACAAATCAAGCCATGGATACCCAAAACTCCAACTGCAGTGCCGATACCGTCACCAACATGAACGACAATACACCCAACTTCGGGCGCGTTGTGACCAACCGGCGGGCCAAGAACACCGATCCTTATGAAGTAATCGGCTTCGGCCAGTGCGGCTGGGTATACCACCGCAAAGGCAGGAACCACGTCATCAAACTCGCCCGGCAAGGCTACCAAATCGCCCTCGAGACCGACCACACAGCCCACCTCAAAGTGCGCGCCGCCTTTGACTCCCACAAGCCCCCCGTCAACGTCCCCGAACCAATCCGCCTCGCCCCTCCGACGTCTCGCTGGTGGAACAGACACAGCTCCATCCTCCTCGAAGCCCCGCACGACATCTCCCAGAAAACCGTGTGCGCCCTCCTGTCTCAGCGCATCCCCCCCTTGCCAAAGTGCCACCGGGACATCCTCATCGACAACTTCTGCCCCGCGCATAAAAGGCGGGATGTAGCAGCGGACCCGAAGAACGAGACCGCGCTGGCGAGGGTGTACCTCGGACGCCGACGTGTGCCGGGGGCGCCGCTCCCGCCCAACTTCTCCCTGAGGAACTACAACCTCACGCTGGACCAGCTCCAGCAGCTCAACGCGCCCGTGGCGGAATATGCGCGCCAAATGGGCGAGGCGCTTTGTATAATGCACTGGGGCGCCTGGGTTGACGGCTATGGTATCGAATTTGTCCTCGGAGGGCAGCAAAAACCTCCGAAGATGGCGTCCTCTACTAGTACTGGGAAGCAGACATCCGCATCGATGGACATCAACAGCGAGCCATCACTAGCACAGCCGGCGTACGACGCAAACCTAGCACAGCTGTGGGTTCTCGACTTCGATCTCTGTAGTATGTGGGATCGCGAGCGCATGTGCAGGTTTCCGAACGACCTAGTCCAGCAGCTTGTCCGGGCTTTCTTCAAGAACGACCCGTATTACCCGCTGCCCAGTATGAAAGGTGAAGTCGAAGAAGAGCTGTGGTGGGAGTTTAGAGAAGCGTACATGGAACAGGCTCGTAGTATGCAACTGAGGCATCCGTTACCTGGAAGTTTCATCAAAGCTTGTGAGAGGAGGGGGAGTGGGAACCTGGAGATTTGGGAACACGAGTTTTGAAGGGAACCCAGGTCCATGAGAATGTCAATTTTGTTGTGCGAAATACCCCGAGAGCGGTAGAAATTCCAGGCCGTGTGAATAACCATCTAATCGAACGTGTTCCTTTGCTTGTCTGACTGTCTGATATCGACTTATCATTGTCGTGAAGAGCCTCCTCACAGAGAAACATAGACTAGGAGCTGATTCTGTCATGTTACTCGCTGCAAGTATGTCAAATATATATGAGTGGTATTCAGTTTCGGCGATGCAACCATATCCTCTTATCTTGAAAAAGGTCAGTCAATGACGGTCTTCCAACTCGAGTTTCTGTTAGACCATAGACAGAGAACCCGAAATCACCCACATAGTCAATATCAACCACCTCGTTCAAAATAACAACCATGTTGATAATTACCACCTCCCATGAGTCCCTCTACAATACAACACTTCCCATACGGCATCCATACACATCACCACATGGCCCGCGCCCACATCCCCAGAAACTTCAGACGATCAGGACCTCAACGTCTCACTCCCCGGCCCCGGAACCCTTCTCACAGGCCCCACACGCCCTCCGAGTCCCGCCCGACGTGACATCGTCCCATCCGATCACCTCGTCCGCCCGCCCCCGCCGAACTACCCGAAGAGCCCCTCCCCTCCCGCTTCCAAACAAGGGCCAATCCAGTCCCAAAACGTCACAATGACCCTCACACTCCTAGAAGTTCAGAGCTACCAAAAAAAGGCCTCAACCACACGTTATCTTCATCCCATGCCTATATGAAACCCAACACCCGCAAACTCACCCACAGTCTTCTCCAAGGCATCAGAACATCAAGGCCTCTCGTACCGTAGAAGAACCAACCCTCCAAAACCAAATATGCCTTTCCCCTCAAAAGTAGCGCTCGTCACCGGCGCCTCCTCCGGCATAGGCGCCGCCCTCACAGCCCGCCTCATCGCCAACGGCACCTTCGTGATAGCAGTCGCCCGCCGCAAGGACCGGCTCCAGACCCTCCTCGACGCCCACGGCCCGGACAAGGTCGCCGCGGAGCCCTACGACATGACGGACCTCGAAGGAATGCCCGAGTGGGTCAACAAGTTGAGTCCCCGTCCCGTCTCCCCCCTTTCCGTCCCGTCCCGCGTGTCCCCCGCGCACCCGGCGCCGCATACCCGAGCAACACGCGGCCAAACCATCACGATCCTATCACATCAAAAAGCCCACCCCAAACTAACAAAGCCACCTCAAGAATAACAACAACCTACCCGGCCCTGGACACCATAATCCTGAACGCAGGCATCCAGCGCTCAATCGACTTCACCTCCCCCACCTCCATCTCCCTCCCCAACATCACCTCAGAGCTGACGACGAACTACCTCGCCCCCCTCCACCTCATCACCCACTTCCTCCCCCATCTCCAGTCCGTCGCGCCGACCCAGACACACGTCGTCCTCGTCTCCTCCGGCCTCGCCCTCGTCCCCATCCCCCGCTGCCCAAACTACTGCGCCACGAAATCAGCCCTGCACTCCCTCGCCTGGACCCTCCGCACCCAGCTCGCCGCGCACGACGCCTCGTCCCACGTCCGCGTCATTGAGGTTGTCCCCCCCGCCGTGCAGACCGAGCTGCACTCCGTCCAGCCGGACCTTGTCGCCGCGGGGCAGGCTAACTTTGGCATGCCGCTGGAGGAGTTTACGGAGGAGACGTGGACGGCGTTGGAGGAGGGCAAGGAGGATGAGATCATCGTCGGGCCGGCTAAGAATTTTGCGCACGTTGAGACGGACAGGAAGAAAATGTTTGACAAGATGGCTGAGATGTTCAGGAGCGGATCAAAGATTTGAACCTCGATCATCGAGGGCATGTCACTGAAAAGAATTGGGACGGCAAGAGTGGCATTCAATCTGTATTGGGCCAAATGCCTATGCTAACTACACTCCCTGGTCCTGTCAGCAGCCACCATCACCCAGGCTTTCCGGCCTGAAGTAATGAAATGGCTGCTTCGTGGTGCTTGTGATTTTTTTTTCGATCTTGTAAGGACTTGCACGAAGGCTGTAAAGAGAAAACGAAAAGCAAGTGTCTCTCGTCATCCGGGCTTAACGCCTTCCGTCTCAGGAATTCGGCGCATTACCGTCGCGCAGAAACCAAAGTTTCATGTCCAGCGGAGAAAGTAACAAAACCAAGCCTGGCCAACTCTTTCCATACTCCCCTTTCCCTATGGTATATCTTTCTCGGACCGTAGAAACCAAGACTGCACGGAGCCTCTAAGGTGTTGCTCGTCCAAAGCCAAGCGAGGAAGATGAATGACAGACACTCGATACCTCGATGACTTGGCTAAGAATGTAAAAGAAGTGAAAATGTGAATTTGTAGTCAACCAAGCCTCGAATGCTGGAATAAAAGAGCCGCCGGAACCCCCCGTGAATAGGAATAGAACAACATATGATTCGTGAGAAGAGCGCGCCTGACCGTCCAACCCATCATCTAATCCTGCCATCCAAAGGGTTGAGGATCAACCCGCCCCTTGTGCAGGTCGTGAAAAGGAAAGACATTGGGGCGCATAGTCGTCGTAACGTCCAGAAAGCAACAAATCTACGCCAAGATGCCGCTCTTTCTCTTCTCGGCGCTGGTCAAGACCAGCATTGGCGCCTTGCGCTGTCCGTCCGTCACCTCAATACCAGCACGCTGAGCTGAGTTCTTGAAAACACTGGCGAAGCTGTTCTCACCGCTCTCGGCACTGCTGACGCTGTCAACGCTCTTGCGAGCCCTCTGACGAGAGCTCGGGCGGTCAGAGCCGATGGCACCCCAGCTGCCGTTGGTGGACGTCCTTGAGCTGGGAAGAGAGCAATCGATGTCGCCAGCCAAGCTGCCAGATCCACTGTGACCGGAGTCAGATTCGTTGTCGGTGATGGGGGTGCCGGATTCTTCCTCGGCGCTCTCGGAGACGGGGCTCATGCTACCGCTGGAGCTGCCGGTTCCCTTTCTGCGCTCACGTCCCGCGCGGACCAAGTTGTGGACGGCTGAGCGACGCGTGCGAGTGGCAAAGTTCTTGCTTCCCTCGTGCTTGGCGGTAGGCTTAGCCTTGAGCTCCTCAATGGAGGGAGGTCCGCGGGGCTGGCGAACGGGGTGCTCGCCGGCACGTCCCTGGCCGGGTCCATAGCCTCCAGACAAGGGAGTAAGAGGGAAAGAGGCGGTCTTGGGACCAGCGGACTTGGGGGGCTCCTGAGAAGGCGAAAGGGCAGCCTGGTTGTTACCGTTGAGTGCCAAGGACATGACCTTCTTATGGCCACGGCGGAAAGCATTGGCTGACGGAGGAGGCAGAGGGGTTACCTCAGAGGGAGACTCGTAGCGCTTAGGGGGAGTAGCGGTGCGGAACGGGGTGGCGTGGTTCTCGGGAGGGGGCGAAACCTGAACACGGGGGGCTTGCTGCTGCTGCTGCTGCAGTTGCTGGATTTGAAGCTGCTGCTGCTGCTGCAGGGCAGCGTAAACCTGCGCCAACTGAGCCTGTTGGTCATTCTGGCCTTGATCGACGTAGTAGCCCTGCTGACGCGTGACAGGGTCGTAATACGTGTAGACCTGAGGCTGCTGCTGGGCAGCCATGCCACTGAGCATGGACTGCTGAAGGCTCTGGAGCTGTTGCTGTTGTTGGTACATAGCCAGCTGTTGCTGCTGAATCTGCTGCTGAGCACCCTGCAGGTTCAGGCCCTGGAACTGCTGGGCAGCTGCCTGAACGCTCAGGAGCTGCTGCTGCAGGCGCTGCTGTTGCTGAGCAAGGTACATGTTGGTGGCGACAAGTTGAGCGTACAGACTGGGATCCATCTGTTCCTGGTCATCGATAACAATCTCAGGAGGCGCGAGAACCTGCTCAGTGGTGTACTGCTGCTGGTTCGCGTAGGCCTGCTGCTGCTGCTGCTGCTGCTGTTGCTGTTGCTGCTGCAAGAACTGCTGAGCCTGCAATTGCTGAGCCTGCTGCTGAGCCTGTTGCTGGGCTTGCTGCTGGTGCTGACCGTAGCGGGGGAGAGCGGTCTTGGGGCCATTGTAGGAGTTCTGAGCCTGGGCCTGCATGCTGTTGGCGGTTGCGTTTCTGGCAAAAGACTGAGTAGTAGGCGAGGGCGCGTTGTTGTTGACACCGGCAGGGAAGTTGGTAGCAGTCGAAGACTTGGGGGCGGTTCTAAGACCCGCGAGAAGGTGAGATCTGCTGGTGCGAGGAGTGGGAGCGCCGTTGTCGGCATTGCTGGCGGGAGTAGCATTGGAGAGGGAGAGGGGCTTGACAGGCCCGCCGCGGCGAGAGGCAAGACCTCCACCGGGCATGGCCAGGCCGTTAGCCGACGAAAAGTTGTTGGAGTTCATTTGAGCGAGACCGCCTGCGTCCATTGCTCAGATGGGGTATCAATGGAGAGCGAGGAAGTGAGCTGGCGGGAGTGCCGGTGAACGAGTTGTCAAACTCGAAAAGTGTCAAAGAATGTATGGTGGCCTTGCAAACGGCTGGGGCGACCGGGTCGAATTACAAGAAGGATAGTTTGTTGAGGTGCGCAGCGCTGGGCGTCGAGATATATTATGGTACTCGGGTGTTGCGGATGACGTTGATGACAGTGGTGTATCAGACCGATCCAAAGCGGTTTCCGGAGCTGGTCCAGGAAAGAGGCTGCACGTGGGTGTCGGTGTCGGAGTCAAGGTGGACGGAGGAGGGTGCCAAAAAGTTCAAAATCCAAAAATCGGCGGTACTTTGGATGATTGAAGGTGATGTGCGATGCGTTGTTGGGGAATTAGATGGTCGCGTATCGAGCGTCGAGGGCAGGAAAAAAGAATGATCGTAGTGGTCAAGGAGTGGGCGACAATCTGCTGTCGATGGGAAAGAGTAAACGGCGCTGGAGATGTCGGGTGGAAAAGACTTTGCAACGGAAGCGGTTGTGGTCGAGGAGAGGAAGGACCACAAAGAGGAGCCTTCTTTGTTGTTGGGTCCAAGACGAAAGGGCGCAGGGACTTGGTCGAGATCGACAGATCAGTCAGGTGACGAGGAGGAGCAGGCGAGAGCCGTCGTCGGTTGGCGCGGGCTTGGGCAGCTGCGTGACGAATGATTTGTCGAAAAAAAGGGCGTTGGCAGCAGCGAGCTGGCTGTTTCCTGTTGTTCCGATGGAGCGCTGGTGTGAAGATTACGGTGGAGTTTTTTTCTGCAGTATCTGACGATGAAAAAAGGTCGGACGAAGACGAAGTAGAGTACAGTCGATTAAAAAGTGTTTCTTGGATGGATTTGTTGTGACGATGATGCAGATGCAAGTTGCGACGTGTGTGAGTGAGTTGGTCCAGAGGCCTTTTTGGGCGTTTGGATGTTGAGCTTGTGGCGGGATTGATTTTTGTCGGTATTTGGTGTTGCGAATGTGCGGTGCGGTCGATTTGTGGTTGGTGAGCGAAGCCTTCCAGAACCCGTGAAGAATTTTTGCTGGATTTGGTTGAAAAAACGATGCGAGACGGATCTCAAGAGAATGCGAGGGTTGTGATCTTTTTTGCTTTTTTTTTTCTTTTCCTGGAAAAATCCCTTCTAAAAAGACGACGATGACGAACAAATTCGCAGACCAGAGCGGCGGAGGGGGAAAGAGGAGGGGGGGAGAGAAAGGGTTGAAGGAGGGAGAAAAAAAAGGAAGGGCGGTGTGTGTGCTAAAGAGAGGAAAGAGCAAAAGAAGAGGCAGAAGGGGGCAAGCAGCGGAGTGGACGACAGATATGGAGATGGAGTGCAGTAGTGAGTGTGAATGGAAAGGCAGGAGCAGCCCAGAGCCAGTCAGTCAGGTAAGGTACCTGCTCTGTACCTCAGTGAGTGCAGCAGGTGCAGGACAGGACAGGACACGCCGGGACAGGAAGACGGGCAGGACAGGGCAGGTGGCAGCCAGCAGCAGCAGCAGCAGCAGCGGGAAGGTGGCAGCAGCTGGAGCAGGAGCAGGAGCAGCAGGAAGCCTGGAAGGAAAGAACGAACGGACCAGCACCCACCAAGGCACCCAGGAAAGACAGGACTGGACAGGGCAGGAGGGCGGACGGGCGTGACGGGGATGTGCCAGGACCAGGAGAAAGCGGGCAGGCACCATCCACCATCCATCATCCACACTCAGGGGAGCGCAAAAAGGAGTGGAGATCGGACTGGCCAGAGGAGGAGAGGGGCCAGGGCCAGACAGGGCCCAGGTCCTGCCAGGCAAGTGCATGCACCACAACGGGTTCCCTTCCTTGGGTGCCAACCCGAAGCGAGCCTGACCAGTCATTGGTGACGGTTGAACCAGCGGCGACAAACTCGGCCAATGGGAGCGCCAGGAGAGAAAAAAGAGAGGTGGCAGACAGGGGTCCATCGGCTGGCCCCACTTGGCCGCCGTCAGATGTATCCTTGTACCTAAGGTATCCGAACCCAAGGCACCTCACGTCTTTCGAGCCATGCCTGGCGTCTCTGGCTGCACCAAACAGGAAGCACTCAGGAGCCTGGAGAGAATGCAAACCCTCGACTGACAGTCATTCACAGTCACAGGAGACATCTGTGGTCGAGAAACCCAATCATAGAATGCGATCCAGCGCGAGGTATGACCAGGGATGACTCTCTCTCTCTCTGCTTCTCCTCACTTGCAATCAGGTACAGGCAGTACTGACTGCGTACCAGTCTACTATGGCAGTACTCTGTGCTTGAAGATGCACTCACACTGCTGCTAGATACAGTTAGTCAGTGTGATTGCGCGAAGCTTCATCGGCCAATCACCGCGCCGTCTCCTCTGGTCTGGAAGACGTGACTCGACAGGAAGGCAAATTCTCAGGCTTGCAGCCAATGTATCTCCCACACGATCGCATGTATTCGCACCGCCTGTAGCGCCCCTTCGTGTGCCCCTCCTCCACCTGTTGGTGCGTCTTGCCTGTCCTGTCTGTCTCCTGAGGTACGCAGCACCTTCCCATGGTACCATGCAGTCCGCGCAGGTCGCGTGCAGGTGACGGGTGGATGGCAAGCGCGAATCTACTCCAGTCTCCAGCTCCTGCTCCAACTCCAGCTCCAGCTCCTGCTGTTGCGTTACTGCACTGGCTGTGCTGGCGCACTGCTCCTGCATCTGGTTTCGCCTCACACCACTTTCAACCTCACTTCCACATTCCTCTCCTCCACGGCCCTGGGCTCCCCGGCACTCAGACTTCAGCACTATCTCGGATACGTCCAAGTCCCAACACCCACCGTCTCCAAGGCAAGACACACAAACCGCCTTTGCATTCCGTCCCAACTCAATGGCAATCTGGCGAACGAACGAGGGGTTCCGACAGAATTCCACCCACCTCACCTCATTGAGCTTCGCCCACTGCCCGCTTTACGACTCTCGGAGACGGAGACCCAGACGTCAAGCCATGACAGGACTCCAGCAGACCCCAAACTCCAGAGTCCAGCGTCCTTGTCCTCTCTCCTGCCCTGCCACCGGGCCTGCATCCATCGACCGACCGAATGACTCCTTGTCGCGGAGCACGAGCAAGCATCAACCCCTGCGCCCCCAACCACGGTCTCATCGTGACACTTTCCACCTCACCTGCAAGACGACTGTCCCTACCTTCGCCAGACACAGAGACAGACACACTGCTCATACGGCTGTCCTTACGCCGGCACTCTACCACATACTTTGGCCTGAAGTACATCATGTATGGCCGTTTCCAGGGGCCAAACTCTCGCCAGAACCCAGATCGCTGGGCTCCCACCGCTTGCCGACTACCTACACCTACAGCACCCTTTGTACTATCTATGCAGTACATTGCACACGTTCTTGTCGGCCGCACCTTGCTGCCAGACTTTCGTTCTCGCTTTGACTTCACAGATACATCGAACATGCTTCCATTACTGCTTCTGGCCATCTTTACGATACCGACCACACGGCACACCTTCGCCGTAGCATAACGCCCTCACCTAAGGTTCCAGCACGTCGCGTACAGTACCTACGACACCCACCACCCGTCCATGTCCATCGGCCATACCTACCCAAACCCTTTTTTCTATTTCTGGTGGTGTTGATCAACACGGAGCGTGCCCACACGGAATCCACCTCTTGAACCACCAATCATGTCTTACTTTGCGACTGCAAATGCGACTTGCAACCACGGACAGCCGCGGGAAGAGCCCCATCGGCCCCTTCCAGACGTTCGTCCTCTTCCACGCAGCACGCTCAACAGCCACTACGCACTAGCTGCCTACACTACTGATACTCGCCATGCTTGCGGCTACATTCCGTCAGGAGGTAGCCCAGCTCATCAATCAGTAACAGTATCACCGTTCAGTCAAACGCTGCCAAGGCCTCCCTTTTTCCACTGCAATAGAACCGAAATCTGGGGTCCAGAGGGGCTGCCGATGATGTGAGCCATGGTCAACGGCTGCGGCAGCGACTCCCGATCGGGGTCTGCACGCTATCTCCTCCCGCTCACGCCCTCCGCCCCGGCATGGGAAATGCGAGGTTGTCATGATATTCCACGGCCATTTCCTGGTGAGCATAGCCGAACATGAGCTATCACCAAGCATGTGGCTGGTCATGGCTTGCGTGGTCCTGTCCACTGGGGCACGCGGCTTGGAGAACAATTGATGCCCCAAGACGATTCCAGACGAGCGCATGGAGTCGACCAACATCGGCAGAGAGGGCGCATCGCCGCACTCTGGACGACAGGTCACTTCAGCAAGCGAGCGACGGGCATGGCACCGACAACGCGGCGTCGGCACCTCCATCTCCATGGCAAAGCTTTGACTTCGCTCGAGGGCTTTGGCCTCCTCCAGGGGTTCTCCCGCACGACACACACGATACTTTCCACGCATGCCGCTTTCCTATTGCCAAGGCTTCCCGACTCAACAGTGGTTCATCATTTCTTCACAGAAAGGTAATCCAATGCAATCTGTCCTCCTGCTGCTCGCTATTTCCTGCCCTCCACCGCCATGCCCTACTTTAGCACACCTTTTCCCTCTATTTCCTCGCACCCATCCCCCGGCCATACCGTCCCCTCGTTTCCGTAAAACGAGGCGGCATAAAGTCGCGGATGAGGATATTTGGGGCAAGCGACATCAGCTGTTTTCGCGCATGTCTCCCAGCATCTCCCTAACTTACCCAATGCTAACCTGTTTCCCATCTAGAAGCTTTAGAGGGCTTGTTTCACTTCGACTGATAGCGTGGTACTTGTCTTCCATCAGCCCTGCCTCTCTGCAAACTGCCAATCCTCCACTTGCCGAGGTTCCTGTTCATCACGCTACCCCCGCCGCTCAGAATAGCTGTCGCCACTAGCAGCTTCTGGTGACACAAGTCTCTCCCACTTCCCACCTGCACTCGTCATTTCATACGTCGACTTGTGGTCGGTTCAAACAGCATGGGAAGCTTCGGCGTCCAGAGGCCTCAGTCAAA